AGATGGAAACAACCTAGGTGTCCATCAGCTGAAGAATTTACAACCAAACTATGGTACATACACACAGTGGAATACTCTGCAACCCTAAAGAATAACATAGAATCTGCAAAACACTGCATAATGTGGATGAACTTGAAGGACATTATGCTGAGTGAAATAAGTCAATCACAGAAGGACAAATATTTTATTAGTCCATTATTGTAAAAAGTCAAGGAATGGTTTATATATGGAAGGAAATTTTCTTTGTTGGTTACAATGGGTGGGAGGGGAGGGGAGGGAACACTGTTTGATAGGTAGAGACAAGTATTGATTTGGGTGAAGAAAAGGGCAGTGTACCAAATGTGAGTGATCACCACGGTGGCATTGAGGAAGAGGAAGACACAGAGAGGTACACGGGAGGTACAGGCAACAAAGAAGGACCCTTTTACACATACAGTACTGTGTTGTCAGTGAAGGCAAACATATATGGGTGGATAGATGGTTGGACAGGCTGAACTATTAGGTATGTCTGTGCAGGGCAGAGTGTGCCCAAGACCATGTATACGGTTGGCAGACAATGTTTCTACAAGTGTATTGGTATGTTCTGTAAGAATTCTTAGGTGAGCTGACAAGGGACAAGGTTGTAGTCACTTCTTGGGCACAGCCAGCTTCCCAGAGGGAGCGAGTAGTTGGACCTGTGGGCCTGGAACCATCGTTGCAGAGGACATCAAGCTCAATTGGCATAACATACTACACAAAACATTGTTCCACGTCCTACTTTGGCAAGTAGTGACTGGGATCTTAAAAGCTTGCAAGCAGCCATCTAGATGCAACAATGAGTCTCCCCTCGTCCAGAGCAAAGAAGAATGAAGAAAACCAAAGATTTATGGAAACAATTTGTCCAAGCGACTGGTACACCATGCGACCCTCAGCCTATATGACTATGAGACCCGAAGAACTAGATGGTGCCTGGCTACTGCTGTCAACCACTCAGAGGGGGTTCTATGTAAGGGATCCTGGATAGAGTGGGAGAACAATGGGGAACAAAAGTCAAAATCATTTGGGAAACAAAAAAGGGGGAGGGGGGACCAGGTTTGGTGGTCTGGGAGAGCCTGATGGAATCACTGAAACAATGGCCTCAAGCTGCCCTTCAGGTCTGGAATTGAATCCACAGAAGTGAATCCATATCCAGGCCTGAAGGATAACCCAGGGCCGTAGTCTTGGGGATTCCACCAAATTCTATCTGACCAGTAATTCTGGTCATTTTTGAATTTTGTTCCACATTTTTCCTTCCACTCTATCCAGGATCTCCAATTTTGATCCCTTTCTGAGTAGTTGGCATTGGTAGTCGGGCACCATATAGTTCATCTGGTCTCAGTGTCATGAAGGCTAAGGTTCTCGTGGTCCATCACATCTTTGAACTAATTCCTTCCAAATGGCTTTGCTTTTCTTTACTCTTCTTTGCTCCAGATGAGAAGAGATCAGTAGTTGCATCTTAGATGGCTGCTCTAAAGCTTTTAAAACCTCAGTCACTATTCATCAAAGTAGGTTGTAGAATAAGATTCACGGACTCTTTCCAATACCACCCTTCCCCTCACGCAAATCAACATGTGACCCCCAACTTGTCTGAAATTTTCCCTCCCCTTCCCCCGCATCTCTGGTAACCAACAAGATGAAACTCCTTCCCTGCAGAAACCTTTCGTTAACTTATTACAATAAGGGGCTCATACAGTATTTGTTCTTCTGTGATTGACTTGTTTCCCTCAGCATAATGTCCTCCAGGTTCATCCACGTTGTGAGATGATTCATATGTTGTTGTTGTTGTTAAGTGCCGTTGAGTCATTTCTGACTCATAGCGACCCCATGCACAGCAGAATGAAACACTGCCCGATCCCGTGCCAGCCCCACAATCCCTGCTATACTTGAGCCCATGATTGCAGCCACCATGTCAGTCCATCTCGTTGAAGGCCTCACCCTCTTTCGTTGACCCTCCACCCTACCAAGC